TAATCATATAGTTTCACAGGACGACATTTTTGAAGTACAAAGGATAAAATGTATGGTCTATATTGAACTATATAAAGTGATCGATTCTGACGTCTATGTTTTTTAAAAGTTTACAATGTAATATTGATAGCATGCAACGATAAATTTGTTCTTTATACTGATGACGATGGGTATTATTAAATGCGTAAGCTGTAGCAAATATAACTCAAGAATACTTAGTTATAACCCCGGAGTGAAATATGTTGTCATATGTTAATCTTGGGTAATGAAAACATGTATAAAAAACATAATGCAGTCAAATGATTGAAGAAATATTCATTTTTAATCACCAAAACGAATTTATAAATTGTGTACATCTGTTTTATAAAAAAAAACTGTAATCATCAATACATAGTTGATTCGTGTATTCAAATTGATTGGTTCATGTTTATTTCATGATGTAGTATTTAATCGTCAAATTTATTTAGTAGTGTTATTAGTAGTAGTATTCAAGACGCCTACAAACTATTTACACGGCATACCATATTCATGCTGACAAAAATCTGGTGTATTACATTTCATGAAGGCTTTAATTTAATCTGAATAAACCTAATCAATATTGGTTCTAACTTATTTTTGTGATGATATTGTTTCTTCATCATCGTACTTATTATGATTATTATTCTTTTTATAAATTCATCTATGTATTGTCTCTTGTGATTTCCATGTATAATACTGTTGATTGTGTAATGCGATAGAATTTCACATTTACGTGGGTTGGTGTAACGTTTTTGTAGTTATATATTTATAATTTGGCACAGGTATATTGTCTGTGAATCACTTTATATGTAATTTCATGCACAACAGTCATAGTGCTTGTAAAAATAATTAAAAAAACAGGAAATTTCAACAAAGAACCAACCATGATATGAAAATAGTTTAGCAGTCAAGGATCAAAGGTGAAGTGAATAATATTCAACTGAAAAGGATTATTTGTTATTACTTAAACGAGCAAACATAACAGTTTGTAACCTTAGATAAAAGTTCACCAGTTCAAGTTGTTCCATTTTTTCAAAATACGTTTCATTAAAAAATGATTCAGAAACAAAACAATAACAAAAATATATTGATTATGCAAATAAACATGAATAGACATAATATATAAACACAAATGAGAGGATGATTAACTTTTGATCATACCTTCGACTATTATTAACTCAAATATATTTTAGTTACCTAACCCAAATCGTTCGGAGTAATAGTCACTGACGTCGGGGACTTGAGATCATATACTTATTGGGAAATTTCGATGACCTAGTTTCGGTGTTCAAAGTTTGCCAAATGAATCAACGTGTAGCTGATCTATATATCAGTATCTTTGAGATTGTAGTACCCTGTTTATAATAAATTATGATCATTTAAATAAAATAATAACGTAAAGTGTGAATAGAACAGAACTGAATCTATTTTTTAAATGGACGCCCAATCGAAAACGAAGACTTTTCAAATACGACAAGCTTAGATAAAGGTATATGTTTAGGAAGTTACGACATGAATTGGAGAAACTATAATTTACGGACGAATAAATAAGTTTTAGGATAACTGGTTTCGGAATTTGACACGAAATTCATTTACCCATTTGTCTAAATAGCGTTTTGGCGTTTTGGATGATGTCAATTGGTGATGCAAATCATAAATATAATTCCTAATCCTAACCATCAATTGTAAATCATAATCCTTATTCTTCACACTGCTTTATGACCCTCATTTAGCCTAAGTAACTAGGAAGACACTCTGAAGATCACTTAAATGTCACTCAAAGGTCGTCCATATATTATAGTCTCACCTATGAATTTTTATGCTGATACTGAAACATGCGGAAATTAATGTGAAACAGTAAGCTGCTTCTATTCAAGCAGTAAGAAACAAATTATACAACCCAGATTATGTACCACTGACGGTGTGGGTATTAAAGTTATTCCACAGGACTAAATCAAGAATTTCTGAGTATATGTAGCAGTGTGGTGTGTGCTACTCATGTCGACATAAGTAGTATATGACGCTAGTCAGGAATACAATGTCTGGCAGCAGAAAGTTGAAAAGATCGAGGACGAATGAACCGTAACAAAAAGTTATTGATATGGAAATGCAGGAATATTGAAGTTTGAGACAATTAGTGAACATTTCGTAAATGAAGTATTTACTGTATTGTTCTCAGACTTTACTAAGACGTTCGGTAATTATGTGTTCAGATACATTTGATTGTTCCCACTTGTGTTCTCATTCAGTGCAGCGTATTGATTATATCAGTAAACTTATGCAAAACATCAAAGTTATGGCATAAAGAAATGCTGCCCTAAAGTAAAATAAAAATTGTGTGTTACTCAAATAGGTTCCGTTTTACATTAAAAGTCAATGAAGACCTATTAATGATCCAAATTTATGTTATTATAAGCATGTAGTACTTTTGAAACAGTTCTATAGACTACAAAAACGAAAACTTGTTTGTGGTAATTCTCTTTATCCAAATTCCACTCATTCTTTTCTGCATATTTTGAAATACATTCAATGACTGTAACTTTTACTCCACTGTTAGAAATCGTAAGATTCTTGAGAGAGATGTGAAAAATGTATTTCTTAGACTTACAGGAAGTTTATTGCTTACGATATCAATTACACCAGAAATATCTTATTATTATTTAATATAAGATTGGAATTCAATTGAATCGAAGTGTTTAAATAATAATGTTTTGCATTTTGTGTCCTATTCGCTTATGCCTATTCATATCCTGATGTGTGTATAGAAAATGTTAATTTCACACGGATATTTCAGACAAACATCTGGTCAGGAATTATTTTCACCATTTAATTTTCTAACTAATTTCTTTTGATTTTTAGTAAGAAAAATGTTCATCAATAATGACCGTTTAAGTGTTATGTCGGAATTCAACATTTGTTAAAAAATTGTTTAGATTTATTGAATATTATTTTTCAACATACTGCAATCGGTCAGGTCGTTTGTAATCGTTTATCCAAATTATTTAATTAAATTCAAATTCAGTATAGCAGTTATTTATACTTAAAAAAAGTGAATAAAAATTACGTATTTTAATTTCAATGTTAATAGCGTAGGCAATTTTAGATTATCGTTTAAATTTCTGGATCAGCTTTTATAAATCATGCATTATCACTATTCAAGATATTTGCCCCAAGGTTATTAGATAATGTAGGTGGTTGTCTTCAAGAAAACTACAGAAAACTGGTTAGTTATTTCGTCTGGGTTTGGGATTTTACGTTTTTATACAATCACAACGTCCTTAGGAATTAAAGATAGGAGCTTCAGGTTTCATGATGAACCTTTAACTTTAATATGGCTGAGTTCAGCCAATTCGCAATATAGGATGATGATCACATCATTCTGTCTATGACATCTGTCTAATTTTCGGCATGTCTGAACTCTACATGTATTGATTTCTTTCTAAAAAAATGTCCAGAATATATATTGAAGCTAGTCTTTAAACTTTAATATTTGTGTAGATTAATTTACGAAATAATGGATGATGGGAGCGGTTCCGGACTAAACAAGAGACATCGTAGAGGGCAATTTCAGTAATTTAGTTAATTTTTAATATTAAAAAAATATTGCTGTACTGCATTGAACATAGGATAAGTCTGTCAGTTTCGATTGGTATTTACTTTTACTGAATTTGTCACACATACCCTTTTAAATGTACTATTTTCAACATAATTCTAGACTGCAAAAAATATTTCAATTAATCTTGACTAAGTAAATTATATGTTTTGTTTCAGTTTGATTAAATTACAGAAAACCATTTCACTGATTCATTTATTACAGTATAATAGAAGTGCACGAATTTTCAAATGAAGAACAAATGTCGTTCTTCTGATTTTTCCCATTACATTTAAGTGATTTCATGGAATACATGAGCTTCGTTTACACATTTTTGTATAAACATATTCTATTAGTGTTCTGTATAAAGATGGATACTTATATTTTACTAATCCCTTTTTAAACATGTGTGAATTAATATTGTTCTTAGGTGAATTGTATAACAGTTCAAAGCTCAATAACATTTTATAAAATCCCTGTCACATGCTGATTTTTATCTGACTCAATAAATTTAATATTCATATATATCTTAAATACAACTTGTGATGTTGTGAAAAAACATTCTTAATTCATTCCAATGTTGAAATACACTTGAAAAGTCATCTCAAACGATGTAGCAACTTATCATCATGACAGTGTTTTGTTATTTTAATTGTTGTATTTTCATTCCTGCCATTTTAACTCAATAACTTTATATTAGTTTTATCTTTTTAATAATGACGGCTACACATCTCACTGTATAGTCACTAATAATCAACAAATTAATTTAAAAATAACAAAAATTACATTCTGAGTATGATTTATGTCACAAACTAATATCAATTAAAATATCATTGTAGACAGGGAAAAACCATATCCTGGCACGGATACAAGGTTTCTGTTGCTGAGTTGCATGCCAAAAATAAATTAATAAATGTTTAGTATTTTTTGGATTTCAATGAATTTCATTTAGAATCACTGCCAAATTTCAGATTTATTTTGTCATATAAGTGCACATTTAATATGCTATTTGAATTGGTTAAAAGAACTTAATCACCGTCCAACACCTAATATTTCATGTAAATATTGGTGTCATGAATGCATGAATTTAAGTCGACCTAATTTTACGTTCGCATAAATACAAAGCACAGGTTTTTCAGTACCCCCACGTTAGAGTTGATTGATATATTCCTTTACTATTTAGTGAGATGGACTGTTAATACATAAGTATTAAATGATTGTATTTTGTTCCTTATAAGCATTTCCATAAAACGCTTCAGTTCATGGTCTTAAACTGATTTTAAAAGCAAGAACTCACAGAACCATCTTAACAGTTGAAAATGATTGTTCAGTCAATTAGTAAATGCCAAATCCTCATACAAATAGATATAACAATCACAAACAAACTTACCAACAATACCAAATTAAAATAACCGCGAACAAGATTATTAAAAGTGTAACAAATAGTCCAACGACTAAACCGATTGTAGCAGAATAGAATCCTTCAATGAAAAACAAGGGAATAAAGAATAAATGGAGTTAAAATTGATCAACATGTAATATTTGTTAAAGAATAAGTTTATAAATCGATTAATTGAACATAATTCGATTTAATTAAGCCTGAAAATGTATTAAAAACCCTGATGGCCTGTAATGACTGACTAATATATGAACGGTTTAGTGTTGGTTATTTTAAAGTAATTCATTTGAACCACTAAATTTAGTTAAACTTCTACTGACAAGCCAATTATCAGTCTAAAAGAAACCAATTAATGTGTTAGCTAGGTTCAAAGCTATGGATGTTAACATTGAGATGAATTCTTGATACTTATACTGATTTTATTCATTCAAAATACGATATTGAGTTATTAAGTTTGATGATCACAGTTTAAGCATGATATCCCTAACTTCATATTTATTTGATCTTGAACAGCATAAGACCTGGAATAAATTTCCATCAGACAATATCGCTCTGACTCACAGTAACACAGTGAACAAAGTTCAGTTTTATCATAGTGAACTCTATTGAAATACATTCTATTTAAATGAATTGTTGAGATAGGCCTCCAGGTACAAAATAGACTACTAAATTCACGTCATTTTTTCAAAATATTTAAAAGGTTACGAACAAATATAATGCCCTTGGTGTGTATAGAGCTGAAGGCCTCTTAATTATATTGAATTTAATACCCTAATATCCTTAGATTTCAAACGATCCTGTAGTTCTTACTAAGGAAAATCAGGCAATTGAAGGTAGTCAGCAGTTAACCTTTGACTGCGGTTTTCTGCTAGCTGATACTCATGAATAAAATGTGTCTGTTAACTTCAGAAAGCCGATCCGTCCTGATGGATTCGAGTCCGCCTTACGCAGCTTCACAGTTCTCGACATTACCATTATTTTATTCAAGCCTCTACTGATCTCTCGTAGGACTGCGATATTTGCAATTAATTGATCAATATCAGATGGGTTTTTTGTGGAGATTGTAGTAATTTCAATAATTAAGATCATGAGTCAGTTGAAGCTAGCCCACCATGGAAAACCTGGAAGCACTGGACGACCGTTTCGTCTTATTGTGGGACTCCTCAGCAGTGCGCATCCACGACCTCGACCCCTGCGAGATTCGAACTCAGGCCCTACTGGTTTCGCTCCCGAGCACTTAACCACTAGACCACTGAGCCGGCATCCAACGGTGTTAATGTCTAACTTCACGAGGTATATCCTGGAGTTCTAGTGAGAAGTAGTGACCAGTTGAGTTCAACCAGGTCTGTTGTGAGGTAGTAACTCACTGAAGACAATGGTGAATGTGTCGCTCAATTTCGTGGATTAGTTGAAGTTAGACATTAACACCGTTGGATGCCGGTTAGCTCAGTGATCTAGTGGTTAAGTGCTCGCGCACGAAACCAGTAGGTCCTGGGTTGGAATCTCGCAGGGAGCGAGGTCGTGGACGCGCACTGCTGAGGAGTCCCACAATGGGACGAAACGGCCGTCCAGTGCTTCCAGGTTTTCCATGGTGGGCTAGCTTCAACTGACTCATGATCTTAACCATTGAAATTAATTGATCATTCAGTAGTGGTCAGTCCCATATTCCTTTTATGCTTTGCTGTGCATAGAATTCTTTCAGTGAAGTCACTATATGGCAAGTAGTCTGGTGTTAGTCAACTACAAAAAGTAATTTTAAATTAGAAAAATTTCTGTCAGTCACCTAAATTGCTTCTAGTTTTCACACATATCTCATCTAACGACTGTGCATTATTGTGTATCCTTTTGAATAACACTCACTTCTATAGTTATAATTTAAATTAGAAATGTTCCAGTATAAGAGAGTTATTAATTAATTTCAGCATCAATCTAACACAGTACTTTGTTTGTAATAAAAAAACCCGCGTTTGGTTGGCGTGTATAACTATCTACTGAATTTTTTTAATTTTGAGGTATGTCATTAGGTTGATAGATTTGAGACTGACTTGTAGTTAGACTTACTTTTAAAATCAATTAATTTATACAGCTTATTAAAAAGTTAAAATATAGCAGTATTAGAAAGAAGGAATTTCAAATGAATATTTGTTTCAAATAACTTTCTATCCAAACTCTTCTGCTATCATAAACATAACACTAGAAATGTTAGTATCAGGCACCGAAGAAAGTTTTGATCAAGTTAGACTGTTTATAATATTGGTCAAGTAAAATAATATAGTATGATAGTAGATGTTATCTTTTCAATATGACTGAAACGAATGAAATAGTTAATAACTGGCAAATCTGGGTAAGCGATAATAATGAGTGACTAAAATGAGAAGTGAAAAATTTCTTTTTTATCCATAGGATACACATTGAGTTTAAATGATGTTCACCATTAGATTTAATAATATATTTGGTCCCACTTTTATATGACACTAATCTAAAATCAATATGACCGACACTTTTTCACACTTAGTTCTCTAACTAAATGATAATGAATACGTTAGACTAGGTCTTTTTTATTTTGACTGGTAATACACTGAATTGCTTGGGTTGACTGGAATCCCGAAATTGTATAAGGTAGAAAAGTTGGGCGTAAGATGAGCAAACTAACCTTGTGACAAAAACCTAGCTACAAAATGGTGGAGGAGATTTGTATCTCAGATGAATGACTTTGATGGAGTTTTGTTCTATGAGCTGGATGGTTTGATCGTGGAGCTTTCATCGTTTTTCTGAACGACATCATCAGCACAAACTTCAGGTATAAGGACTTTGTGCTGATGATATCGTTCAGAAGAACGATGAAAGCTCCACGACCAAACCATCCACCTCAAAGAACAAAACTCTATCTAGCTACGAAATCCCTATCAGAGAAATCAAGTGGGTTAAAATTGTAAAAGATAGTATTATTTGCAGCAAATCTTTCTGTATATTCCTGTGATAGTTTGGTAACGGCCGAAACAATTCAGTGATGAGATCTCAGACTGTATTTGAAGCGGGTTAAAATCTAACTGTAATCATCACTTCCTTGAAAATGTCAGGCTTACCTTCTTGATCGCTGCTAGCTTGCATGAAACCTAAGTCAAATTTTTGTTTTGAGGGTTTTGAGTAAAACCATATTTCACTTTATACTGTTATCAACGTCAGGACAAATTATCTAACATAAATTTTCGTAAAAGTATTTTAAGAAGTGAATACATTTAAACTATTGATTTTTTCATTTGTGTGTACTATAATATTGAAAAGCGCATATCTTTCATGATATATTTGTTTATTGTTACAGAAACTCATCAGATAAAAATAATTCTAACGAGCGGCATAATTTTAACAATGGTTGCTATATTATATGTAAGTATATGGTACCGTTGTTATAGGTTTCTGTTTGTTCATGTTTACCAAAGTGATTACGTTTCGCATATTTTTATAAAAATCAATATTACACAAGGGATGGTACGTGTAAATGTCATCACCTTGGTAACCTTTAAAAATGAAGAAGTACTTATAAGTAGCGTTAAAATAACACCAAAGAAACATTGTTGAACTGAGCAGAGATATTCATTTTAATGAAAGTTAGTTATGTAAATTTCTGGTGTTATACATTTACTGGTAATAAAATGTCAACTTGTGAAACTGATATGAAAATTCAATAAACTAAAATTTCAATCTTGATACTTATAAATGTATGGAGATAATAACCCTTTGAGCTTGATTCGAAATGACTTCTTATTAAAATACAAATATCTACATCTATTAATTTTATATTATTTTATGTTATTTAAACAAAAATATAACTTGGGTTACAAAATCAGAGGGCTTATATTTTATTCTACAGTGTGTGTTGATCGGTTTGTATTACTTAGTATTTGTAAACCAATACGAATCAGACATCAAATTCTTTGTGGCTTATTAAGAATCTCTATAAAATAACTACTCGTAACTGATTTTATCTTACTTATTAAAATCATTAAAACAGAAAAATTCTTCCCCTATTTGTTAAAAGATTCTCAGTTTAAATATAATTTTTTTAAAAAACCGCATAAATGTCCACGTGGTTATTTTAAATTTATTAAATATGATAATTTTATTTACTTTACCATTAATTGTAATTTTTGATTAAACTTTATAAAAGATATTCGAAACCACTACGTAAATTTAAAAATTAATTATAGTTTGGCTGTTTCTAACAAAGAAATTGTATTTAGTCATACTACACCTATTTATGTACCTTTTAAAAATAATTAAACATTTAATAGCCAATCAAATTTTGTTACATGCATAACAACGAATGAAATCCACAGAACAAGTACAAACAAAAATAGTTTCAGAAGGGGTTTTTGTGGATATTATAGTTAACATCATGAGTCAGTTTGAGCTATACCTCCATGTTAAACCTAGTAGCACTGGCAGGCCGTTTCGTCCTATTGTGGGACCGATAGGGCATGGAATCGAATCTCGTGAGGCAGGATCGTGGATGTACACCACTGAGGAGTCACATACTAGGACGAAATGTCAAATTAGCTTTCTGAACCCATATCGAGATCTCAGGCAACAAACCTCCAGAACTTATAGCCTCTCCAAGGTACGTGAGACGGTTGATATCGCCAGCTTCTTTTAAAGGAAAAACTTCTTGAGATACATAAAAGTACTTTTATCTACTTATTTACGTTGACTCCCCAAGAAAAGATATTTGATAAATTTGAGTACTGCTTGGCCAGATTTAAATTATGCTAAGTAATCCCTTTGTTTCCTACTATTTTTCTTACCACAAATAGCTGACCAACACAGACGCTTAGGTAACAAGATATCAAATGACAACAGGGTTAAGAAATTATAAAACTAATCGAATTCAACAATTCCTAATGGTTATGTGATGACAATTGACGTACGTCGCATAAAAAAAGTCAGAAACTACTAATATCATTCTGAATAGTTCTTCTGTTTAACCTACTTTTAGAACAGAAAAGTTTATAATGGAAGTTTTATTTGCTACTCTATAGCCCTTTAAAATATATATATGTATAAATCTTGTTATATACTAAGAAAAATGTTGAATATTATTTATTCTTCTATATATATATGAAACAAAATAATACAGTAGGTCATTATATTTCAGATTAATATCTAAATAAAGTTTTATTTTACAATTAATGGATTTATACTTTTTCTAATAAAACTGGATATAAGTAAAGCAGTTCAACCTCATTGTCGATACTTATTAAAATTAACAGGGAAAACATAGAACAGAAGATATAGATTGAAATTTTTAGACCGACCTCAATGATAAATAATAAATAATAACACCGGTTGATAATTCCTGATATTCGATACCAATTTCTTTGGAATTAATGTATTTGATTATTCACAATTTTAACAGTTTAACTGTCATCGGCAAATGTAATTCTCTTTGTAAATTATCCAATTTCGACCAGTACTACTTTATAGACATGAGTAAAATATCCTTTTCTTTAAACCACTTGTTACAAGTATGTACGTTTATAGGCGGATGAATTAAAATGATAACGTAAAACTTCAAATGTTTCCCTGAAGTTATTTACATTCCCAAAGCATTCCATTGAAAGTGGATTCTCATATTTTAAATTAATTTTAGATCGGAGTTAAAATGATAATTGATTTTAATCTTCTTACTATTCATGTGCATCTGACAAAAGTTTAACAAAATCAATCCGGAGCTTTTCAAGTCTGATTTGTTCGTTTTTCTAGATCCGTTCTAACTTATAGTTAGAATGTCGAGCTTGATAAGCTCTGTTCAAAAGTATGTATTTAAAGTAGCCATTTAATAATTTGGCATAATTATTGAGAATTTTTAAAAATATGAGTCTATAACTTCAGTCGTCGTTAAATACTAAAACTGTCAGATAACCTCATTTTATGTCAAGTAAATTTATTCAACATTTTAGTGAAAAACGTGTCGAAACTTCTCAAGAGCAATATGTTTATGGATCCATAGGCCAGACTGAACCTATCGTCTTCAATTTTTACGACAGGCACGTTACATTACGTTTATTGTGTTCAAATAGAACACTTCTAAATAATTTCTAAAGTGAATTTATTGAAGGTTAAGTAACAAGCCTCGATCGATAAACCAGAATTAAGATATGTAACTTCAACTGAAGTTGTATCATAGTAGCTTTGCGTTTCCAACTGATAAAAACTTTCACTATAAAATGTTGTATTTCAATTTTGTGACTTAGTGGTATCATACGCATCGTAAGACGTAAAGATAAGGCAGCCGTGCAGAAATCTGGTAGATTTTCAGCTGAAACAGAGAAGCCGTTCAGTTCTTCTTATGTTTTTTCCCAATTGTTCTCCTGATTATATTAGTTAATAATGAAAGTTTACTACAATTTTCGGCTTTTTTAAAATAATTATTATTAAAAGTTATCAGCGTTTGACGACCAGCTTAATTGATAACTTACAAAACAAATAATTCACGTTTGGGAATTCATTACTTACGGATTAAATTCGAATATATTTACTGTGTAGAATAAATGAAATGAATAATTAGTTTCTATTAATTATTAATTAATTTACTTTCGATTTATTAGCGTAATAATTTGAGTCAAAGTTGGTTTAATATTTCATGCTGTGGTTTTTAATGAAATCACTAAAAACTTTTGTTGTCAAGTTATGCAAATAAAATAAAATGTCTAGATTGTTAATTAATTTCTCGTAGACAAATCAAACTTAAATTTGTCAAAATATGTACATTTTAAATAAAGTAATACGTCTTCGTTTGGAGTAACCAGTTAACTGAAAACTACTCAAAATGAATTCTATTTTCACTTTAATTAGATAAAATTATTTTTATTATAAATAGCGCGATAGAACGAAACGGCCGTCCAGTGCTTTCAAGTTTTCCATGGTGGTTTAGCTTCAGCTGACTCATGATCTTAACCACTGAAATTACTATAATATCCACAAAACCCATCTGATAAAAATTGTAGGGTTGATTTTAAGAAAAGCGACTAAATTACTGGTAGGTTTATTAGATCTAATGAATTAACATATAAATAAATATAGATGAAAACCCGTACAAGATAGTTTAAAAAATCAATGAAGATAAAGAGTAGATATGGATGTGTTATTGTAATCAATAACTAATTTTCAAGTATTGTTTCCACCTAGATAGCATGTGCTTCAATTTCATAAATGGGTTAGAACAACACACAATGGCTTCAGTGATTGGCATGATTGTATTACATCTGATCATTGATGATCTTCATTGTAAAATATCATACCTTATGTGTTGTTTGGATTGAAAATGTGTACGATATGTCAGTTGATTTTAGTTCGTAGCTTATCGATTGCTCTGTTTTCTTTTTGACTTCAGTAGTATTCATCAATAATGTCACAGATTAGAAATCGCATGAACGATTTTATATTGTATCGAACAATGTAACCTGTAGAAACTATTTCATTACAATCGTGTATTCCCAGTAAACCACTTGATGTAACAACATCAATGTTAGATAACCGAAGCCTTGCTAAATAATCATTCAAAATTGAGTGTATATCCAAGTTTGTATCCAAGCCTCAGAATGTTAATGAAAATTAATCGATATGTAGGAAGCAAAGTGTATCTGTTAAGAAGTATTAGTAATAAAGTATTATTTACTTTGATGTTTCATTTCGTTTAAATGAATAAAATTTTCTTTTTAGACCTTATCAGAATCATTCAGTCACGTATAATCCTGGAACAAATTTCTTTAAACGTGATTGAGATAGTGATAAACTTAGAGTATACAAATGGAACATCTAACATTTTAATGAAAACGTTCTCAATTCTACGTGTATGGTGATTTCAATGAATACTTTAACTAAACAAAGCTTGATTAAAAGGTTTCTCTGAGCGTTAGAAACTTTACAGATTTCAACGTATTTATATTTGTTTATCAGAAGAAATAGTAAATTACTGTTCAAATGAAAGTATTGTGAAAGCTCCATTAATTTTAAATTATAATTAGAAGTAAAATTCTGTCACTTCAGAATTGAGACTTTTGAATAAATTGAAAAGCTTGTGCAAAATATCTGTTGAACACTACGTGGTATTTAATACATTTTAAAATGATTTTATTTAAAGATTGTTACTGTTAAGGTCTTTCTGGTTCCTAATGTGTATAACTGTTGTGTACTATATAATATATGAAATCTAAAGATTTTCGTGATAGATTGTCAGTACTTGGATAACGCTATAAGACAAGAAAAACTGAGGTGTTTTATCTAAACTCGGAATACTTTGCGTTTTACACACATAACACTACAGTGAATAGAACTAGAAACACTCAGGTATCGTTGCAAAACTTTCACCTATATAACAGTCAGTTCATAATCAATAATAGGGTAAGATAAAGTAGTCATCCATTGATTCATAATTCACATTACTTACTCAGTAGAACTCACCTCCCTATAAAATTTGCTTTCAGATAGCTCAAAATCGTTATATAACTGCATCGAATCGTCTTATATGACATAAACATATTCATTCATTATGTTTCACGTTAAATAAAGAAACTAATTTCTACAGGACAACTGATCAAATAATCAATAAGTGAATACTTGTTATCTATTATAAGATGCTATGGGGTTTATTGAACTTAAGTTATGTATCATGGATTGAGTTAAGTTCGAAAAATTCGCTTCAAGGTATGAAGGTCCTAAGTTCGGTGCTTTGTAGGATCATCTGTATGTGGAGGCTCTCTTAATAGGATAAAAAAACAGTTATTCATAGCTTTCTGATCTTTAATTGTTCTCTAACGCAAGTAAGTCCATCATGTCAAACAGGTTAGTTAACTCACTGAGTGCTTCATTTGCCCACTAGTTCGGCTACAAGATTTCATCTACATTCGTTTAAACAAGAGTATGAAAACCTGTTACTCAATGTATTGAATGCAGACCGCTGCTGTGAATAACTTCAAAAAGTCATGAAGTATGAATGTCACTTATATACAAGTGTCAATGAGATCTAAGTTTATAAGCTAATATTTTTTATCAAATAATTATTAATGTTAAACGTTAGAATAAATCGTAATGAAATGATGCATCACTTGACAGATACAATATTGTTTTAATTATCATTAAACTTTGATCATAACTAGGAATCTCGTGATAACCATATCAATTGCTTTCATATTGGAATATAGAGATTTCGGTATGTACAGGATAAACATTAACTAATTTCAAGAACTTACCAGCATAGAATTGACAGTAATCACCAATGTAATCATCAGTACACCTAAAGAAAGGTGTGAAAAATATTTGTAATTTTAATTTGTTTGTAAACATAAGTTAGTGTATAAAACGTATATGAATATGAACTACAAACATTTTCGTGATTATCTATCAATTTATCTAACAAAAATTGGAAAACTCAAAACTAATTGAACAAAAGACCATTGATAATAGTTAACTTTTCATTGTAACATTTACAGTTGAGCATACTGACAACAGGAGACCAAACTGTTACAATAAGCTCAGGAGTTTGAAGTACACATTGCTTGCTGGTATCAAAGCTTCGTTTTATCTATTTGAGAACAAGCTTGACTTCATTACCCCTAAAGTATATAGTCATTTGTGAATACAAACTAAAATAATTTACTTCTGTTGAAGAGCACAATCAAAAGGTATAAAAAAACTTAGTATCAGGATATTGTAAACTTGAAATAGAATTATTCTATGAAAAAATATACAACAAAATGACACTTTGGTAATGTAATTTATACTATTCATAGCATGAACATCAGCATTTTGGAAACTAAAACAAATGACTTTACTACAAGTGTGGTATGTGCTATTTACGTCGACATAAATGGTATATGACAATAGTCAAGAATAGAATGTCTGGCAGCAGAAGGTTGAGAGGTTCGAGGAGGAACGAATGGGAACAGAAAGCGATTGGTATGGAAATGCAGGAACAATGAAGTCTGAAACAACTAATGAACATTTTTCAAATGAAGTAATGGAGTATGGTTTTTTATTTTATCAAATAACTCTGTCTTTGCCTCAAAGACGAGCAGTTTCTCAGTCCATATATTCCTAAACAATTTTACATTTATATCGATCATAATACAGATAAACTATTGGTGAAAGAAATCTTAAAATTGAAAATAGGATCACAAGACTATATACTTTCTCAAACATTTAAAAAATATTTTATTTAAACAAATCTCTGAAGTTACTCATCCCAGACACTCATTTTAAATAGTCATTGTAAGTCATCGGTGAATGTTATGTAAAACGTATTGCACAAATATCACTTCGTTACAGTCAATTAAATATTAGAGTACGTTTAACATGAAAATATTCATGTTTTCAAAAAATCTACTTTACCATGTACGGATGAATAGTTATTTGACTGACACTATCATGCAGTCGGGCTACTTCATTTAATTCCTAATCAAAGAGATTAATATTTAACCTCAGACGAAAATTATATGATTAATATTGTTGAGTTGATTTGTTGTTACCATGGTAGTAATGCAAATTGTGAGTAACGTTATAAATTCACTATCAAAATAACTGAACGGTAACAAACAAAAATCAATAGCTTCTGTTTATTTTATTGTATATATACGTATACAATTTTAGATACACAATATATTATTTAAATTATTGCTTATTTATGAATAATCAATAAAACTGAGATATTTACGTATGCGGTTACACAAATACCACTCTAGATTAAAGAAAAAATGATGAACTAGTTTTTATTGTTTGGTGTCATGTCAATTGCACCTCATTTATGGATAATGTGGTATCTGAAATTGTTGACAGATCATAATTAGTTTAAAGTAGTTATAATTTTACTGTTCGAGTTAAGAAAGCTAATTAATATCGCTTGTTTAGCTTCGATACAATGACTAGTTATAGTAAGTTTGTGCTAGGTCTACAAGTTTACTATACTCACTTCATAACACATTCTGTTCTACAATACTCTTCGTGCATATTTTGAAATAATCGTAAATCATGTTTAGTTTAAAGCTAAGAATTAGCTTAATGTTTGGTATTATTTTTGTTACGGATATAAGACATAATCATAGTTGTCAGCTATTTTATAAATAAGCAGTAAAAGGATATCCTGATTGATATATTGGTTAAGATTTTTAAGCAATTAAGAGTAACGTTGAATAACATACGACCACTATATATGCCAATGAGTTCAAACGCTAATTTGATTTAAAGAATCATTAATGAGTAAACGAGTCCATAACTTAGTCTGGAGCTATCTACAGTCCTTCAAGCAATTTAACAATTCTCTTATTGCACGGACTGAATTTTTTCCATAGATAGTCCATAAAAAATAAACAGATCCAAATTTTACTAACAATTTTTGACTGAACATTACCTTTCATTCAAAGCTCAAGTTTTTAATCCATTATTTCTTGTATGAAAGAAGAAAAACTGAGCGAAATTTAGCGCTGAAATGTGAACTCTTAAGTACTATGAATTACAATATAATTAAATGGATCTCATTTACTTCACTAATCGTATTCGTTCTTGATAATAATATTCATTAGCAACTTACTATACTTTAGTATTATGGATTTCGTAAAACTTTTAATTTTGAATTCATGACAGAATACATGAGGAAAGTAGGTAAAACATAACACGTTACATAGTTTTCCAATTTTCCTAAGGGTTTTCGAACTGATGCTAGTCGAGGTTAAAAGTAAAGTTGAAAAATACTGTATAATAAGATAATTTATAGTTCTTGAGTTTTTATTTTGTTGAAAACTGAAAGCTGGTACGTAATCCATAAATATCCATGATTTTGAAATACATTAATTTATAAGTCTCATGTTTTAATTATTTATCAAAAGAATGGATAGTTTCAAATCGATCACACCATTTTTATCACATGACAAATTGTCTTACGTAGTATGTATGTTGCTACATATAAAAGGGTTGATAGGTGTAATTAAATACTAGTCGATTGTGTTTACCTTCTTATAGTGCAATAAAATTATTAGTTATCGATTAATATGAGACTAAGTTTAACAATAAGGCATAATTACCTACAATATCTTGGGGATATTTATTTAGTTGAAGACGTATTTTAATCGAGATACAACTTAACAAGCTACTTCATTCATGTAGTACAATTTTTGAAAAAATGTAATAACCAGATAAAAGATGTTAGCCACTCTGTTATAGCCACAAATAGAGTAATCCAAAGTATTGTCTCAACAACTTCGGTCTTTGTAGCTTATATAAATAACATCAGGAACTTCGTTTTTATGGGTAACTCTTTCTAAATTTGGATGGTCTTAAGACAGTGATTTCACTTTTAATAGTTGAATTCATGAATCAATTGAAGTTAGACCATAATGGAAAACCTGGAACCACTGACTGGCCGTTTCGTCCTAGTATGGGACTCCTCAGCAGTGCGCATCCACGATCCCACCCCACGAGATACGAACCCAGGACCTATTGGTCTCGCGCACGAATGCTAAACCTCTTGACCACTGAGTCGGCCGGCATCCAACAGTGTTAATGTGTAACTTCATTTTTTCCCCATAATTTAAACTATATGCAAATTGTATCAGTAGATACCTCAATAAAGTTGCCCAGTGATGGTCGAAATCCAATTCAGAACTTAGAACTGAAAAATACTGAAAAGTTTGCTCTCATGACCCATTTCTCAACCAAAACTTCACCATTATTTTTTAGGTTATGTCTAGGTTACATACAGTGGTGGATTTACTGCCCCGGTGTTCCGACAATCTCTTCATCTCATAACGGGTCTTCAAACAGTTTCAAATACTTCTGGGGTGTATATTTCGTAGCATCTATAACATTGGCTCACTTTGATGCACAAAGTATGTGTCCGACAAATCCTAGAATACGGCACTTTTACTGTGAATAGAGTTTGAATTTAGAATAAACTTTCGTTGAATTCGATACAGCACCGATTTACACTTCAAATTATGAGGAATGATTAAGTAAAAAACTACGAACCTAAATGCAATAAGCTTTGACTAAACCCTTGATGGGAACAGTGACTTGAATTCAATCTTTTTCTTGGAAATACTTAATAAACTACTTTTTGCATCCACTGATGCAACACAATATCTATGAATACCTGCTTATGACATCTATAACTTTTTATCATCAATGGAACTGTCTCACTCTGTCTCCATATATGAGTTATTTTCCTGGTGAGATTTCAAAACTCTGGAATAGACTGAAGTCATTTTTGATTAAATAAAATCACTGTCATCATTTATTCATTGCATCGGTGATCACCTTTCCTCAGAAACTGCCATAAATGTTCGTACTATTTCGAATGTATTCCATTCCAACTAATTTTATAAAGGTCGTCTCTAGCTAACTGTTACTGATGGTATGTTGTCAAATAAAGCTCAGAATAGTCGACTGAATATTTCAAACAAAATTCATTCTGGTGAATTAGATTGAGTCCCATGTTACGATGGATTTCATGAATTTAGATCCAACCTTACAGTGAAACACATATAATCACAAAACTTGTATTTCAGAACTGTTTGTATAAGCCTACTTTAGAGGACTTATGTGTTAAAGTAAATTGATTCATGGGTATACTTTTCTGTGGGTTATTTTCTTCCATAACAGAATTCGAAATAATTCTATAGAAAAATTTAAATGTAAATCGAATTTGTTTAATATGATGTTAAACTACGTTTAATAGATTAATATGTAAAAACAGTACCCACCAAAGACAATAGATGATAGCGCATTATCGCAGATTGGTTGAAGTTAGACTTGAACAACATTGGATCTCGGATCAGTGATCTAGAGATTACGCTTTTGCGCGCCAAACCAAAGATCCTGGGTTCAATTCCCGGTTGTGGCGCTTTGAATGCGCACTGATGAGGAGTCTCACACTAGGATGAAATAGCCGTCCAGTGCTTCCATGTTTTCAGTCGTTATCTAACTAATATCATTTCGTGTTCTCAATAAAAATTCGACAATCTCCACGACCCCATACTGATAAAACTCCAAGGTAATCCTGACAACAAATTAATATGAAGTCGTGATTTATTAAACTAATATTGAATGAACACCATGTGGAACAAAAATTAATTAAATTGAACATAGAACAACCAAATCGAGTGTGAAACTTATATTTGAATTAATCTCAGAGATTGAAATTTAAATTATCCGAATCATTTAAATTACAATCTCTGAGATTAATTCAAATATAATTTTCACAAATAATGACTTTTCTATATTCGGCGTCTAATTTTTGTCAGAATA